ACAGCCGATCTAAGTTTAAGAAGTCCTAAGTACAGTACAGTACAGTGAACCTACCCTTGTTGTGTAAATAAGCATAAATAATTATTAACCATTAATATCCTTTCCATTGTGTGGAACATCAAAGACAGGTAATATTTGTTTATAGTAACTAACAAGGATCTACTAATACATCATAATGATATTTCTTTCCCAAATTGATAGTCGGTCTCTCTTTGAAATGGTTGTGTTGGAGGGAAGGAAAATGCATTAGTAAATTAAATAGATTTTGTTAATGTTAGCAGCTTATGGTGTGGTGTTTTATTGTTTAATGGTTGCACAGGTATTTTAAGAGCAGTTGGAGGATGTAGGTAGTTACCATATGTGGCAAAGACAAGCCAAACCAGTCACTTGTCACAAATCCTGTTTTAGAGATACTGTAATAGCCAAAACATGCTGGAATAAATGTCTACATTTTTGAAATCTGTTTTATTGCACTAAACTAACCTTTATATATCTATATATCATGCTATGCTGTTATTTTTCCAATTTTCAATTATACCTCCATGGTTAAAACAACTATTTTTAACAATTGGTGATGGTTACTGCCTGAGAAATACCTGAAATCATAAACTTTGAAGGCTCATTTCTCAAATATTGTTTTTTTAAACAGCTTTGTTTAAACTCTTGTAACTTCATAACAAAATGTCAGATTTAAATGATTCTTTTACTATTTTATAGCTCTCATTTTACTGTTTAACACTGTATTAATAACTAAATTTTTGCGATGAGTGACTGGTTTAGCTTGTCTTTCTACATATCGCTTCATTAAATAATTACTTGTTTACATAATATGAGGTTATAAACTCTTTACTTGCAACTGATAACAAAATATGATTGGTCAGTTTAATATTCCCTCTATTCTGAGTGGTTAATCTGAGGAACTTTTCTGATTAGTGGAATAAAAACTAGTTAAATACTGTATCTATAAGTACCTGCTAATAATTGCTATTGATGTTCTTCTTCAGTACAAGAAATTGTACTAATATAGAATCTGATGAAACTTTGATCAGATTTATCTAGGCCTAATTAGCGCTGAAGGGAAATAAAGAATAATGATTACTGCATGTCAAGGCAATGAGTTACCTTTCTAGTGACCTGATTTTCTTTTTGTTCAGAATTTGAATAATTTTGCTACTTAAACTAACTTAATATTAGATTAGTGTATTAAGGAGTTAGTGGAATTAATATCTTTTGACCCTGCCTGTGTCACTGTTTCTGTTATTCCTTTACTTGCCTTTACTATAATTTGTACCTGCCAAACTTGATTTTATCCCATGTGTGAAATATCAAGGGTTTCTTTTTTGTGAATTGCTAGTTGGAAAATGCGAGTTGCATGTTACGAACTGTGAGTTGCGAGGTGGAAAATGCAAGTTGCGATTAACAAATGCGAGTTGCAAGTCACAAATGGGATTTGCGAGTTACAAAATGCAAGTTGCAAGTTCTTGATATGTGTAACAAGTAAAAAGGATTTGTTCCCTTACATTGCAGGACTTGAAAAAAAAAATTTGATTATACATTTCATCAAATTTAAGAATCCCCGAAGCACTTCAGTCCCTGGTCCGTATTCTATGACAATCATACCCAATGGTACACCATGTTTACATATTTAATTAGTTTATTTGAACAGTAGTTAAAGAAGATGTGCTGTCCAGCAGATGCTAATAATTGACATTCTTCAAATTGGTAAACAGCTCCAAAATGTTATGATTTGGTGACATCAAAGGATGCACTGGCTAATAAGGGGTATTAACATGAGGAATAATGGGGGGGGGGGCAACGACAGGAAAGTTATAGTTCGTTAACTTGGGGAGATAAAATAAGGTGATATGAGGTGTTTTTTTTTAGCATAATTTGTGATATTGAAAGAGGTTGCGCATAATGTGCCTGGTACCTTAATTGGTAAATGGACACTTCCTGTATATTCTTCCGGAAATCCCCTTCAATTTGACTTAATGGAGTCTAGCACCAATGCAGATGTTCGTCAATATCAGTGACCAGGGTAACATCCGGTAATCTTTCAAACACTTTTTAAAAAATAATATATAAATGTCAAACATCATTAATATTAATTATGACTTGTGAATGCCCATCTGTCTGGGTAGCAGTAATGTTCAGTGAAAAATTTGATAAGTTTTAACTTGATATCTATTCTTACCTTCTTTAAACTTTATTACATACGTGGTCCATAACAATCAATACATAACAAAAACATTAAAACAAACAATACAAGATTGAAGCATAGGCCTACTTAGAACATAATTAAATTTTTTTAAATGTATGATGTAATTTGTTAAATTTCACATCCAATACAGTAGCAATTTTTGGATGGAATATGACAGGATTTGAACCCAAGACACTGGGATTGAGCGATGAGCATCTTAACCAGCAAGACCCACTTCATGCTAAATTACATAGTGCAACATATTTCCATTTCTCTATACTGTCGTCAATACATATTATAATAGTATATATATTTGTATACTGTATTTTACATTTTTTTCTTACCTGTAAGTGGCGATTCTTTGCTGTTTGTGGAAATAAATATATAAAAAAATAAATGTACTGTATTGTAATTGAATATTACAGGATGGTTTTTAGAAGAAATGGATGCGCAATTTAAATCTATTATTGTATTAATGATAATATATTATTGTTATTATCATTATATTAGGTCACTCGGTAATGTTCATTTAAATGGTACTTGTCTCATGACCCTTACACAGTCAGCAAAATTAAAGTGTTGATTTAGGAGATTTGAAAGAATTCAGAGGAAGTTGGAATGTTTGATCAGTATGAGAGAATTTTTGATACCATTGCCATGGTGACCACATTCCAGAGATAAAACTCTGAATGACCTGAAGGGAAAGTCTCTAGTACTATTGTACTTTCACCTATATATGAATAATACTTAATGATGATTTTGTATGCTGTGACAGGGTTCAGACTTAGTTTAATTACGAGTCCATTCAGTTTTATTCCATCATGTGTTTATATATAGAATTGACGGTTGAATCAGATGGCCTGTTAAATTTTAGAATGTTGAATATTGATGTTTATATGCATCTGGTCTCGCTGTATGGTTTTTCAAAAAGCGGCATATGATAGCGCAGTCAGTTAAGGCTGGCAGTAACCAACTTATGCGGATGCTGAATCATTGATATATTTATGTCAATGGTTCCAGTTGCGGCGTCAGCTGGGGAAGGGGCAAGAGCGTGAAACCAGTGTTGGAACAGGCCAACCCCACCTCCTCATAATTATATGCTAATGCTATAATGTCTAAGAACAGCTTAAAATAGCACAAAACTGCACAGTTTTTGTAGGCATGTGGGACTCCCACCCTGCTGTACAGCTTTCCCCATGCCAGGCAAATACTGGTCCCACCAGTGCCTGGTACTACTACATCAAGCTCAGGAGCTATAGGGCCTCTAAACCCATCATTGCGTCAGGAATTTTATTGTAAATAACTTCTACAATGTTGTAAATTGAATTCGTTTTCTGAACCATAAAAATTATACGTACTTGCGAAGTTTTGTTTGCTGTCAGCTACACTTCATCAGGCAATGAACTATTGATGTTGTCAGTTCGATTCAATTATATATACAACACATATACTTCTACAATGATTATCACAAATGTAAATAAAATACATTATTATTATTATAATTATTATTATTATTGTTATTATTATTATTATTATACATATTTTCATTCTACTTTATATTTAGTGGTACAAATAAATATTGCTGTTGTTCTCATAAGTATGTACTGTACTATCTTTTTCTGTTGAAAGATGATCTTGGTAGTCATAGTCATATATATTTTTAAGACACTGCTTTGATTAATCTGTTATAACTATAATAGTCACTAGCTTTTTAACATTGTTGACCAAACCACAGCTAAGCTAATAAAATAGGTCTACTTCCAATATTAATAGATGGCTAAATTTAAATAAGAATGCAGAAATATATAAAAGAAAGCGGTTTTAGTCAGGGTTATATTCACTGGTTAACAAAGAAGAGGAAATTCTTTGAAATTTCCCACAAGTATTTAAAGAATGCCCCACACAGATAATAGTGAAAACCTCAATTATGCACAAACTTTTTTTTCATAATACCACAAGTATTACAATTCTGTGCACATAATCCATTGTATCTTACTCGAACCTTTTATACACTACTGGTTGTGAATTAACTCAAAGTTTAGTATTGACGTAGCTGAGCCTAATTACTTATTGCTTACGGACCACCAAAATGCCATCGGCTTTTTTATTTTTTATCACCCCTATACTTCCTGTACTTTATTAATAGAAAAGTACAATATCCCACTTCCTTTGGCCATACATTAAAATATGTATCACAGAGAATAGTGGTGGATCTAGGAGGTGGGGAAAAGACTTGTCTCCCCTTCCATTTCCCTGTCCCCAGTAGCTACCAAAAATCTCTAACCAAGGGTGAAATCATTTTTTGTATTCTACACTTTGACAATTTATTTTGTATCCATTTATTGTTTGTGTTCCCACCAGTAAGTGGCAAATTTTGTATTTGCAGTATAGTTAATTAGGGCCTATATAAATAAAACAAATTAAATAAAAAAAATTTATTTTTAAGAGAATAAAACTATAGCTCCAGATCTCTCAGGTCCCATAATAGTAAGGGAACATCCCAACATGTCTGGTGCAGCTCTCACGCCTTCTAATTTTCCATTTAATTCTAACACCCTAAATATACAAATTAAGCAATAAATATGAACATTTTTAAGGTTGCAATTCAACAGAGATGTATTCTTGCAAAGTTAGAAATAAGTGATTTATTCTAATGTTTTTGTGATTATTTTGTTGTTTTTACTATAAAGCATAAATAACCTGAATTCCAAGTGAACTTAGCTTAACACATTGACCAATGAAATATCTTATATCTTGTAAACAACTTGTCCTAATTATTATGATCCATTTTGTTTTTTTCAGATTTGTCATAATAATGTTTACTAACATGAACTAGATCAGTAGAGCAAGACACAAACAGAAAAAAACAAAACACAAATTGATCAAGGTACTTAGCACGCAAGTTGCTCAGCAATTGATAGCTACTTCAGTAATAGAAACAAAAAAATTTTAAATAGAGGGGCCCTGGAACCAGGTGGAGGTCCAGAATAACTCAGCCCCACCATGGCTAGGGTCGAGGAAATTTTATGTGTGTAACTCCTCTAGGTATTTGGAAATGGCACTCTCAAACTTAAATTAAATGCAAATTTTTTTTCTCCCTTTTATCTTTGATTTTCAAAAAAATTAGAGTGGTGGGTGTGCAGGCCAGTTGGGCAAATTGTGGCCTGGGCCCCCCCATAAATACGCCACTGCCAATGATAGGCTTAATATTGTTTGATAGTTTCCTTACTTTTAGATGCTCTATAGATATGGAATATCTTTCCACTTATATTGAAAGAGTTAATTCTTGTGAAAAATTATAAAGAAACTGTTGCTAAATTTAATATTTGTAAACATTTTATATATTTTAATATCATAATTATAAAAAGTAGCAATCTTTATTTTTGTAAAGGATTGAAAAATTAAATTAGATATTTGAATATTTTTTCTCAAAACTAGTAAAAATTTTAGAAGAAAAAATTGATATCATGATGGATGAGTACGTCAATAAATGTGAAATTAGAATTTGCGATTTTTCTGAAGGGATTTTCCACATTGTCACTGCTCACAGGTTTGCAAGATGCATCCGTCACCTTTAGAAACTTTTTTTGGGATATATCATCAATTATCATACGAGATTGACAGTATTGCAATTAGTTGGATATGAACTTTGACCATAATATTGATGAGCAATATTATGCTAATTATGCTAATTGTATAGCTATACAATTAGACTGATCTCATGTACAACAAACTCTCTGCCCTTGTCAATTAACTGCACAATGTTCTTCGATGTTTCTAGCCAGTCATGCATTTTTCATTACCGTATCTAATCTGTTATATCTCCCCTTAACTTATTTGCTCCCAGTTGACACATCGCTCTTGGGATGTTTGCTATTCACCAGAGGGGGTCAGGGGATATGATGTATCAGCCTCATCAGATTGATGAGATCTTCCTGTCCTGTTAAGTTTAGACATTAATCATTTTTAAATAATTTTTTAAAGTTCAAATTAAGGAAATACCATTTTTGCTATGCTAAAAAAAATTAGGTATTTGTAATGCTCAGTTTGCTTAGTCGGTTAATTATTAGCTTCTGTTGAAAATGATGATATATTTTTCTTGACTTAATTCAGGGATAATTAATAATACAGTACATATAATTTTTCCATAAATCTTAAAATTGACTGGTAATTTCAGTGAATCAGTAAATATAGTTTGATCTGTGTCTTTATGATCACGTAATAATACATTTTGACGGTAATTATGTGTTGTAATTCCACATTTACAGTGAAATTAATGTGCATTTATTTGAGTATAATTATACGCATCCATTTTACATTTTTAAAAATAAACGCTCCCACCCTCGAATAAACGCTTCCCTAGAATAAACGCCCCCTTAAAAAAAACCTTTTCGTCAATGAACGCCTGCAGCGTTTATTGAAATGAATACGGTATTTAAAAGTAATTAAACTTTTCATTTTTCCTAAAAATTTTTAAAAACAACATAAGAGAAAAAGAAAACATTGTCTTTAATTCCGTGTGAAAAGTAGTTTAAATTTATGGAATTGTAATGTAAATAGCTTTTGTTCAAATATTTTGTAGGTCATCCGAACTCTCCAACGAACAATGCAAGACTACAGACAGAGGATGCATAGGATCGGAATCGTTATCTGGTGACAAAATGACAACTGATGGCAGATTAACTTCAGGATGAAGCAGATAAGAAAGGATTTGTCTATCCAAAAATGTATGTCAATTGTTGGGAGCTTTGTTGTTATTAAATATTCATTAGTCTGCGAGGATGTATAGCCTGTGGGTAAATCTAGAAAAACTAAAAATATGTTTGATTAATTCCATTGCTTATTACAAATAGGTCACAAATTGCGGTATATTCAGTATGTTTCAGAATATGTTTGTTTTTACTTAGATGAGCAGTTTGAGGAGAGGTATCGTTCCTGTTTCTTGTGATGACGACCCCGGTTTAAACCCTGCCAGCGTCGGGTGGTAATTGGGAGTCTGATCGCTTGGCTCCTCTAATAACCCCCTCCTATTGAGAGTATGCAGGGGTCCCAAGTCTCCCGGAAGTCGCGGGATTCTCCCGGAAATCGGGACAGACTCCAGCAAGCAAGCAAAAATCTCGGAAAGTAACCCATCTCCCGAAAATAGTATTTGCATGTGTTTACTAATTTAATATCACTTATCTCACGGAAGTCAGTGCCGATGGGTATCACCATGCGCAGCAAAATAAAATTTATTATTATTATTATTGGTATTATTATTATTATTATTATTGGTATTATTATTATTATTATTATTGGTATTATTATTATTATTATTATTATTATTATTATTATTATTATTATTGGTATTGGTATTATTATTATGTTATTATTATTATTATTATTATTATTATTATTATTATTATTATTATTATTATTATTGGGGTTTTTTTAGGCCTATTAATATTAGTGTTCTTATTATTGTTTTACCATTTGCAAATTTTATAATAACTTGTGTTTGCATTTAATTAAACAAGGACTTATAAGTGTATAAAGTGTATTTCTATCACAATTCAAAGAGTGACTTCTTATACAGTATCCTTTACAATACTATATTCACATTCTGTAAGTCAATTACTATTGCACTTTCACATACAGTGACTGGGGAGAGGAATAGCAGGGGTCATGTTTCCCCTGCCTTATCCACTAGAATTATAAATTTCCTTGACATGAGCATCTGAAACAGGGCTTGTGCCCCTTGTTTTCAAGTTTGGATTTATCCCTGCAGCCCCCACCCACACACTCTGTACTTACCATTTGGCATTCCATTGCACATTCTGATTGTAATTAAAACCCAGAATAGCAAAATAAAAAAATATGTATTTTTAATAAAAAGTAAATGATGGTAGTAACTCTATTGCTTGTACCTGTATATTTCAACCAATATTCACATAAATTCACCTCCCACCTGTAGTACATGTACTGTATTAATAGGACATAGGAAAGGACTTGCATTTGGTGAGCCTGAGCACTTTTACATGAAAATCGAAGTTAGAATATTGGCTATCCCAAGCCCTGTAAGGGTGATATAACAGTAGTTTATCTGAGAAGTGCATCAGATATTTGGGGAAAACGTAAGCTGGCCCTCCCCCTCCTCAGGAAATTTGCTGTGCATAAATGATGCACTCTAAGTTGTTAAAAGTACCTCATTTGCCCAGCTAGCACCCTTTAATTTTCCATCACACACTTGCCCCTAACAACATCAGTATACCTACATATGCCACTAGGGTATATGAGCATGTCCCCCTGGGAAATTGTCTTTGCCCGAAATGGGTCATCATCCATATACAATACAAACAAAAGTCTCTTTCAATTACTTTAAAAAAATGTGCCTATAGGCTGAAATTTTTTAAATGATGGGCTCTCTGTGCAACAACTAGAACCAGATAATAGGTTCATTCCCCTCCCCCTCCCCCCATCAACTAAACCAATGACTGTAGTCATAGCTGTATTAAAATAATTCTTCACTTGGCTGAGCCTACAAATGGCAAGGTTAGGAAAGGTTCAAGGATTGTCTGAAAGATTCTATAGCTGGCTTTTGTGGATAATTGCTGGTGGGAAAATCAATGATTGCGCCATACTGTTCCAAATTCCCATGTAAGTCAGCTGATTGTGGCGTGATTTAAATCAACCCTTCATGTACTTTTGGCACCATTGGATTCAAATTTAATAGTATTAATGATATAATATTAAATAATAATTATAACGACTATAAACATTTGTGATAATTTTAATTATTTGTATAGATTCCAACTTTCTTTATGGAGGGTGACCATTTCATCTACACTGATTGATATTCATAATGGTATCTATAATACTAAAATGCAATAATAGACAAAAACAGCTTGACTTGTTGGACAGGGTAACTTATCTCCTCCCCCAATGGCTCTATTGGTAGAAATAAGATAATACTAATTTCAATGAATGAAATACTAAGGATTTTTTTTAAGTTATAATTTTTCTTAAATGACTTAAGATTATGTTATAATATTCAAATATAATCTTAAGTCATTTAAGATTATATTCAAATATAATCTTAAATGACTTAAGATTATATTTGAATATTATAACAGGCCCGTAGCCAGGTCCTTCCAAGGGGGTTTTCAGGGCATGAGGTCCACAGTCGAAGCCCTGGTGGGGTAGGCAAAACCCCCAAAGCAAGATGATTTTTGTGCTTTATGGGTCTAAATAATGCTATAAAAGCAGATATGTTTGAAAACGTCTGTGTCTGGGTGGGTTTGCAGTGCACTGCATTAGTTGAGTTGGAGGACTTATTTGGGAAATTTGAAGAGAGGGGTTCGCCATAAAAGAGGGGGGGTTTGCTAGAAAAGGGGGTTCTCCCGAACCATAAAAATCCCCCTGGATACGGGCCCTGTATAAGAGGTTCAGCACAGTAGTATGCCCCCCAAAAAAGGGGAAATATTTGTTTTTAATTGTACATCTTAGAGTAGCCGAAAAATGGCCCAAAATTGTTTGCTACTAATACTAGCCTCTGTTGGACCAAAAATAGGTTAAAACATTTTTTTATCCTTTTTTATGTTCCATAGGCATAATAATGTTCTATAATTTCTCAGAACATAGGATATCAACAGACACACAAGTTATAAAATTCATATATTTTTCCATATACTGAACAAAATTGTAATAAAGACATATGTCATTTTCTCACAACCTTTTTAATTCAATAGTAACGATACATATATAAATTGTCATAATTTTTTTTTAAATTTATTTTTGCATTTTTTAATAATCAATGAATAGTATTGATGGAGTGGGTGGAACGTAAGGTCGTGCAAATGTCATTGTACTCTCATGTAAGTCATAGAATTTGCCAAACTCACAAACTTGAGTACAATCTACTTGATTCAAGTGTGTTTACTTATCTCTGCATATTTTATATTATTATAATTTTCAGAGGGCAAAAGAACTTTAGGTGAACTGCTGGCGGTATAGCTTAAAACAGTCTAATCAAAGTTAATGATTTGACAATTAATATTATTAGTCTATCTGATATTAGCTTTTTTTTTTACATTTTCTTTGTCCATTCCAGATCATTACTTTCACAAGCCAAAACATAAGTACAGGATTGGATTAGATTGGAGATAACCCACAAGGGGCAGATCCAGGATTTGGAGGAGGTGGTGGAGGGGGGGGGGGGTTTCAAAATTTGTATAAATGACCCAAAAAACAGAGGTGGACCTGTGAGCTGGAAATGAGCTTTTCTGAATCCTGACAGGTCTGTTAATGACTTTTAAGTTCCTCAATATACAAGGTTTTCAGTGGTGGATCTGGGAATTTTAAATAACTTTGACAAATTAGACGGGCTGCCCCCCCCCCCCTTGAATCCACCACTGGTTTATCCCCTCTTGAAAGATGATTTTATCTTTAATCTTGTACATTAAGTAGGCCTATACAGAAAAACATTAAGGAGAGTCAGAAGATTGGATTCTTCTGTTGGAGATTGGGCAGTACACTGGGAGACAATCCCTTTCTCCTTTCTGAAGAGTGTACTGTGTTCTTTAACATGCACATTTTTTGACAATTAATTCTTATATTTTTGTGATTCATCATTAGTGCTGCAAAATTTTTTTTTTTTTTTGTGAATTTGTTTCCAACTTTCTTGTAAATTGGGGTAACTTTCAGAGAACTTTGCCTTTTCTAATGTTTTTATTTTAAATGTTATCTTATGTTTTTGATTGAAATAAATAAACCAAACTTATAAACAATTAAATCCTACAATAAAATCCTAGCATCCATGTAAGAAATAAGTTCCATGTGGGATAGATCAGGATATAAGTGTGACCCCTTGAAGATTTTGCATTTTTGTTAAGCCAGTTTTATGTTTTTCATTTTTTTAAATACACTTTTTTGTTTTATGTGAAGTGCATAGGTTTTTGCATTATGCGCTATAATAATTTAACATTATTATTATTATTATTATTATTATAAGGCCACGCCAAAAATTGGACCAATTTTATGTTCAATGAGGGTGAGCTTATACTAAAGGAACTATAGTATGATATGCTAACAAGGCCTACACACTTGTAGCATTTGCCAATGACCCTGGTTATCTTAATTCCGGATGAGTAGTATACATTTATTGCATGGCGTTCAATAGAGCCTGTATCCTACCAGCTAAATTATTAAACATGAATAAATCAAGGACAAAATTTTTGATATTTTTATTGTTATTTTCTTCACACTAACTGACTTAAAGGGTAACTTCTGCAGGCAATCTCCAGGGGCGGATCCAGAGATGTCCGAAAGTGGGGCCAATCGAGACAACACTACCCTAGTTGGTCCAGAGGATTCCCCACAAAATCTTCGTTTTCTAGACACCGGAAAATAACCTATTAGGTGTTTTGGGCAATCAATAATTTTTTTTTCCTTCTTTATTTAAAAATTTTTTTTTTTTACTTTCCAAAAGAGGGGGTGGGGTGGGGAGAGGAGGTGGGCCCCATAAAATCCACCCCTGATCTCACTGTAGTATTTCAATTAAATCCAGGCTCCTTTTGATATATTGTAGAACTGCTTTTTTTATTACAGAAAAAGCATATTTCCCCCAGTTTTAAGGTTATGTCATCTAAAATGTCTTTAAATATAAAATTTCAAACAATTTTAAACTAATATAAGAATTAATGTTTTCATGGTCTAGTTACGAAAACTTGGCACGCTTTTCAGCGAAATAATTAACTTTTTAATAAAAATAAATCTGTCGTAATCATGTGGTTTTGCGGGGTCATTGCCTGGTTTAATCGATTGTTTACTGCAGATCTTAATTGAGAAACATATAATTTAATATAATAATCTTATTGTGTGTTTTTAATTGACAATGAAAAAACGACAAAGGGCTACTTCCACACAGAGAGGATATCCTGGCATAATGTCTTGAAAACTTGGCTCAACTAACTTCAACTGACAGTGTAGAATTTCTTGCCAAGTTTTTTTACAGCCAAATCATAGTAGGGGTCCCAAGCCTTCCTGAGTCACAGGAGTCTGTCACGGAAATCAGTACGGGATGCAAAAATCCCCCAAGTGAGGTAAGAATTTCTAGTGAACCAACTCATCTCCCTGCTTATCTACCACAAATTGCAAATGTTTGTGTGCTTTTACTGCTGTGTTATTGTCTCCTGAAGTTCCCTCTGTAGCACTTCCCAGCATGTCGCTGTCTGGTGCTTGTCATTGTGGTTGGACGGTCGTGTGCCCTTATTTAGTATATCATGCAGTAGTGGTCATAATTGGTCTTTACATTGAGAGTCAATATCCTGGTCTTTGGGGTAAGTGTACTGAGTCTTTCAATATGCGGCTTGAAGAGACCAAACTCAGACAGATACTTAAATTCATAATGAAAACAGACTATAGAAGTGAACCAGGGGTTCAAGTATCCATGGTATAGCGTCCCCGCGCACACGAAAGGGCTGCCACTGACATAAGTTTAGCCTACTAAACTACAGAGGCGGATCCAGAGATGTCTGAAAGGGGGGGCCGAAAGTGGGGCTGATCAAGATAACACAACCCTAGAGGGCATTTCCCTACAAAATTTATTTTTTTCTAGATGACCGAAAATAACCTCTGAGGCGTTTTGGGTGATCAATTTTTTCTTTTTCTTTCTTTCTTTTTTTTAACTTTAAAAGAAGGGTTGGGGCAGGGCCTGGCCCGGCACCCCTTTCCCCCGTCCCCCAAATCCACCCCTGAACTATGCTACAGTTCTGTTGTTGATTTTAGTTTTTTATATATTATTTATATTCCTCAATTATGAAGCAGTTAATTAATACAAGATGCATACAAGGTAGTCACATTAAACAAAGCAAAGAAAACAAAGAGTGAACAAATAATTAAATAGGTTATGAACTTTGTTCTTCCAATTAGCTGACCTGGTTAGGTGTCAAGAATGTTTAAACATGGAGATACTCAGCCTGTGGCCTGTTCAACCATAATTGAGAAATTGTTTCAATTGAAGACTTCCAGGAAAATATTTATCATCATTTTAGGTGATTTTCAAGATTGGAAATTCTTGAAAGTGATTTAGATAATTTTTCCGCGTAAATTGATCTTTCAATTTTGATTTCAATTTAATCATAGAGATATTACTACAGAGATAATACGTCCCATGGTTTAATATTAATATTGAAAAAGATATCTTCCTCATATTACACTATCTATCAGTGGAATAATATTGAAAATTTATAATCAGTGGTCCCAAGTTTGCAGAAGCCACTTCAAAAATAGTAGTGCCTGCCTGCCCCCCCTTCCCCCTCCTAAATTTGTCAAAATTATAAAACAAATGGAGAAAAAGAAGAAATTATGTTAAAAGTCAAGTCTGAGAGTGCCATTTCCGGCCATCTAGAGGTGCTATATTCATAGTAAATTTTCTTCCCTCAGCTGCCCCAACCATGGTAGGGCTGTGGTGGTCTAGACCCACCATCTGTGAAAGGTACCCTCCCCCGGCCCCGCTTCTGAATTTCTCGATCCGCCACTTGATAGGCTACAGTAGATTTCTGGACTCTCTTGGGGGGTATTTTTTCACATTCTTATACCCTTGGTCAGCTGATTTGAGGGAGGCAGTCAATATGTAGTAGTTTTTAAAAAAACATGCAAACTTTCTGAATTTGTGGTCGATGGATTATAATGCGACACAAATGTATTAGCAGATGATGATCACTCTGAAATTTTAAACTTATAAAAGTAATAACATTGTGATAATTTAATAAACATAATACACTACTGCCCAAATAACATCAATCAAGTAAATAATACTAATATATAAAATCAATTATTAAACCTGTTGTAGTCTATTGTTTCAAATCTCGACCTTTAGGATAAAAATAGAACAATAACATTAGTGTGAAAGGTTCAGGGTCACAGTGATTGTTCCCCTTGACATACACAGGGTTGTATTACCTAGTTTGAACAGTACATGCTTTCTGTGAAACACCCTATACCAGCCTTTTCACAGACTGCTTTGTTCTTTGTATACAGTATGTAATAGTTCTTTGTGTGTAAAGTTAAGTAGTAGATAAAATGGCCAACTTAAGGGTTTGTAGTAGTACAAGTTAGGCCCAACCTTCCTAACTGACATAACATTAAATAAACAAAGACAACAAAGGATTAACATTACGCAGAAAAGTTCTCTTGGTTAGAGTTGCAGTCAGATAAAAAAAAAACATGTTTGTTAAATGGTTCTGTTTGTTTTTTTTTTTGTTTTTTTTAAAGAGAAACACTGAAGATTAACACAAACTTTTTTTTTTTTTTTTCAAACCTTAAAGAAAACATATTCATTGTAATGGTTTTTGAAAAACTAAAGAGGATAAAGCCATACCAAAACATGTTTTCTTTTCAGCCGCACCTCAAATAGAGTATGTTTGTTCCGTAACATCTCCTTGGTATGTATTGTGTGGGTTTTTTTTTTTTTTAATATAGAGAACGATGAACCCGTACAACAAACTTCTTTTCTTTTTTGCCGCAGTTTTTTTTTGACAGTGAGGCTCATGTATGATTGTTTTACCTTGTTAATCTTACCCTTTATTAATTGAATAAAATAAAATAAAATATATATGGGGGTTTTTTTTTTGTCACACCTCAAAGAAAATATTTGTTCATGGCAACACCCTAATTTTTAGTTTGTGTTTTTTGATAAGATAAAGAGAAGAATAAAGCCATACAACAAACATGTTTTCTTTTTGGCCACACCTTTCAAGAGAAAATGTTTGTGCACAACCTTTGGTATGGATTTTCTTTCTTTCTTTTTTTTTTTTCATACAACAAAAATGTTTTCAAGTTCTTGGCTGCACCTCCAAGAGAAAAGTTTGTTCATAACTACTCAATTGTTTTGTTGTATAGTTTTTTTGGTAAAAAAAATTGAAGAAGGATGAAGTCATACAACAAATATGTTCTGGGTTTTTTTAAAACATATTTTCCTTTATTTGGCTGCACTCCCAAGATTTTACATTTGTTGTATAGGTTTTTGGATAAAATAAAGAAAAGCGGAAGCTTCTTTTATTGTTAAAGAAAATTGCCACAACACACCAGCCGGTGGCAGCCAGGCCAGGTTCTTCCCCCAATCCCCACCTTAAATTTTTTTAAATGGGAACAACATTTTTTAGTCTGAGAATGCCATCATCTAGAAGTGCCTTAAATAAAATTTTGTGCCTCAGGACCAACCATGGGGGCTGAGGCCATGTGGACACTGTACGGCGAGTGTTCTGAATCATGGTTCAAGCTGCAGGATCTATCTACTGTGTGATGTGCCCCTCTACTGTCCCTTTAACTTAAAGGGACAGTAGAGGGTTTAAGCCGATTACAACCATATCACTTTCCTTTCCTAAAGGCCTGTCCAGACTATCAAATTTTATTTCACAAAAATGTGTGACATGCCTAAATATGGTCATGATGACATCACATCATGACCATAATAGGCACATCATGACTATATATGGGCATACCTACAGTTTTTTGTCGAAGAAATGTCAATAGTCTGGAGAGAGCCTAATACTGTATATATCAGCAACCTATGTCAATAGTAAAATGCAAATATTTTTATAGAGAATATTTTATCTTTTTTTTTATAGATGTATAGAAGTAAGAGAGAAAATGTGGGTCTTTGTGCCAATGGGTGTCAGTTTCTACGGAGGAAGAAAAAGATGTCAAAGATTCTCTCTAAATTCTTGGTACGGTAGTTCTAATCTTTAGGAACATTCATGTTTGCTAAGTATGAGCATAGAGAAAATAGAATAGTTCTATTTTCTCTATGGTATGAGCGTGGAGGTATAATAGGGTGCAAATGATATGCAAGGAAGTAGGGTTCATCTGAGCATGTCTTGAGTGATTTTGCTACTTTCATTACCAGGTTCACTTAGATCATGTTGTGATATTTATTTCACTTTAGTAATGTACAAAGGATATGATACTTTGAAATGAGTAATCTGCAAATGAGAGGATGTATGAACTTAAGTAGGTGAACCCTGCTTATGAGAAACTAAGGTAAACTGAACTTGGTCACTGCGTGGTATATGTAACAGTAGGCCTACTCCATCATTATGTGGGCCCTTTGAGCATTTCTATACAGTGAAAATAATCATATATTTATTACTATTTATCATCATGGCAGATTTAGGGAGGCGTGCCACCAAGTTTTACCACTGCCGTCTTTTATTTCTTATTAGAATAAAATACAAAATTTACATACAAATACTAAAAATGTGGCAATATTTTGTGACACTGAACACAAGTCATACAATTATTGGATACTGGGTACTTATTATTTTTGTTAAAATCTTTCATTCCCGGGTTTAAATGGTAAGTGTAGTTAGAACAGAAATTGGAGAAGCACTGGATGTAAATAATTTTTCATGAAGGATCAGGTAAGGAAAGGTAAAATGTTCACCTGTGTAAGTTATGTGTGTTGTTTACATAAAGGTATTATAATGCTGCAATATCAATTGACACTTCTGTACTTAAAGTGTTGTATCATTGCATGATCTTAATACTTGAATTTAGTTTAAATTTGATTCAAGATAAAAGATTAACAGTGGATTAGGCTAACCCAAAGAAGTATTGTTTGTTAATCCTGGTAATAATGGATTTTACTTTAGTTTATCCTATCTTGGAAAACTTTTTTTTTTAAATAAATGTTACATATGTTTACAAAAATGTTGAGTAATGTAGATTTGTGTCATTTCAATATTGTTAAATAAATAGAGAAAAGTAAATAATATGATAGCCTATGTGCTTTAGTTCCATTCCCCATTGTTTAGATGAGAGATGATGTAACATCTGTGGGCTCTTACAAAACACATTTTTAAATACATTATGTTATGTTATATTGTCTATAACTTATAAACAAATGATGTGTGTATTTAAGTTTATAAAAGCATAGAGAAAATGGAACAGTTTTCTCTATGATAAAAGTATGCTTACGTACATAACATTTAAAAGACTGATGTGGAGAAATCATCTACGTTGCTAACAGAGTCACTATTCCCAGGTTTTCATTGATTCGACTTCAAAACTTTTTTAGAACTTAATTAAGATGGGTGATTATTTACCTATTGGTTCAAGAAAATGAACATTGTCTGTGTTTAATCCAACTTAATTTTGTCACTTGCAGCATGGAGCTACTTTTTACTTTGTTACTTTGTGAAATATATTCCACATTTTTTTTACCATTAAATGTGGGCTGTAAGCTTAGAAGGTTATGCAGAACCATTAGTGAGATGTGGGTTACCTTTATTCATGTTTCTTCAAGGAGGTATAAATCGCGTTGGTTCCCGCCAAATTATTGTTGTGTTACGTACACCGAAAGCCCATGATTTACCTCATAATACTTTTCCAAGATCCATAACAGAAGGAGGAACTGGAACAAAGAATTTGCTCCAAACTCATGTCTGGCCCTCCCGCTGGGAATTTAGACCGCTTTGGGGCAAGCGCAATCGTTTGCCGATATCAATAATTCATTACAAAAGCAAATCCGTCCGAAGCGTGCACCTGAAGTATAGTTTCGTAACGTGTGACCCAGACAACTTGTCGGGTCAAGGAAACTACTGTATACAAGAATTTTCGCGCCAAAACAAGATCATTGTAGACTATCGATTTCGGCCTTAACAACGGCGGGTAAAGGGCAGGTACTTGGAATGTTGAGTATTCGCTTTGGTGTATAGGTTTACCGGCTCAACCTACTTCATGCTTTGAATTCCGTGGGAATCTATTTAATCCATGTTTTGAAAAGACAGCGCGGTGGCGTCTCCTGACAAGACTTAACGACGAAGCGGGAAAAACGAAATGCTTGTAATGCGTAAATCCGTTGTCACCACACCTGAATTATTTAGTAAGTTCTTGCACGGGCCCAACTGCAGACTCGATTGAATGCAATCGCAATAAATATTATAACGTCCGAGGCGAACGTTTTAGTTTTGGTTGATGGTTTATAAACGCAGACATTTTTAAATCAATTTCATTTGCCTCAGAATTATCAGTCTGTCACCGGATGACATCTGTTGAGCCCGACTGCCTTCCTGCTCTGTCACGGGCAATCAGGCGATGCTTTGCTGCTTCAAATTGAAGAGTAAGTTCAAAGTTAAATCTGACCCACTTTCCGTGACGGTGACGGGAATTAAAGAAAACTTTCTCATCAGGCTGCGTTAAGCCAGATCCCAGGGACGGTCCGCGTAGTTGTGCTTCTCAATTATCTACTCGTGCCACAGTATCCCTTACAAAATCAATACTTTCCGAAAAGAAAGCTAACCAGCAACATAAAATACGCAGTCCCCTGTGTACCATGAGTAACTTTGCTCGAAACCATGGCGATGACGATTGGGAGGTAGTACGTTTTAATTCACACCATTTTTGGAAATGTTGAAGGGGATGAGTAATATGGCAGTGACGGATCGATTGAACGCTGTTAGCCATATCATCCGAAATGTCAACGTATTATCATCCTTCTTCATTAACTCGCCCACAACACGTCTACTAAATGATCCGTACCACCAAGAAATCACATAATTATTATTTTCATTCGAACGCTGACCAGTAGCGTGCATGAATAGGCCAGGCGAGTTCCAAACTTTTTCTCAACAAACTGCCAATCACGTACCTAAGGCTAGGAAATGATAGTAGGCCTGTATGGTTTTAGAACCGTAATCATGATTCACAATTGAACTTGATAACAGACATCCGCATCTGAAAAGAAAAAAATAATCCAAAATTTAAAAGGTCAAGTTAAGGTTACGTAATTGATGTTTTCCGTCTGACGTGTTCTTTAATTCTTTTTCAAAATTCTCAGTCCCTTGTTTTATTAATTATTCTTTAAGCCCAGTTTCTAATCAATATGCATCGTATCCCTGGGTATTTGAAAATGACATTTTTATTTTAAGAGCAAATTTGTCATGATTTTAAGCGACAGTCTGATCATCCAGGGATGTTGGATGAACTCACAAGAAGTTTATATTGCTTATATTGCTTATTTCCTTAAAGAAAGGAAAAAAACAGATGATAAATGAGTGAAGACGTCTGCACCCTGGTTTACTTACTTTACTAACCTGACTTTAAAACCCCCGAACACCGCCTACATATTAGAACCCGATCATTTTCGCGCATGTACTCAGTAGTATCATAAAGAAAATAAAACATGGTAGTATTGACATTTTAAAACTGCGCATTTATGGGTTTCGAAATCTATAAGTTTTGAATAATTGTGGTTACAAAATATCTAGGCCTATCACCCATTTAGGCCTATATCAAAACTTTTGAAGACACTACTAAATTTCCAGAATGTGATGTTCATCAGGACAGGGTAGATCAGATGGACAATGACCGTGATCTCCATTTGGACGTAAGATATTATAGTTAAGTTCAAGCGTACATAGATGTTAACATTAATGCGGCCTGTTTAACATCGAATCCTAAAGCCGGGCTGTTACTGCGTCGTACGACCGTCGGCCGAGGAATCCAACTCCGCTGGATGTGAACGTTAGACTGATTGTGGGTGGCAGTCTGAACACATCGTCATAAACGATCCGATGCGTGCGCGTCGTGGCGTTCCGTTCTCCATAGAACGCGTCGGCCGACGACCGTCGGACGCAGTGAGTGCCCAGCATAACAGACAAGTTGGCTTCATTTAATACATGTACTGTTGACAGGGGCGGATCCAGAGATGTCCAAAAAAAGGGGGATCCAGAGATGCCCAAAAAGGGGGATCCAGAGATGTCCAAAAAGGGGGGGGCTGGGGGGGGGCGAAATTTCGGCCGATCGAGACAACAATGTCCTATGGGGTCCGGGGGCGAAATATTTGTGTTCTAGACGCCAGAAAATAACATTTGAGGAGTTGTGGGCTATCATTTTTTTTCTTTTTTTTCTCTTTTTTACCTCCCAAAATGGTGGGGCGGGCCGCCCTTCCCCCTAAATCCGCCCTGCTTGATACAGCAACCTTCAGATCTATACTTTACCATCAATTGTTAATCCGAATTTGAATTTTGCGCGCCGAGCAGGTGGATTCCAACAGCAGTTTGACCATGCCGCCGGTCGATGGCTTGGCACTGTTTAGATGTGTTCTTATAAACAAACATTAACAACAAAGGACGGAAGAGTTTGTTTTGAGGTATAAGTAAGATATGTTGGCGGGAAACCAAATATTGATTACGACGAAGGACGAAATGGTCTACACCACACACCGTCACCTGGTAATGTTCAGAATACATGTCCTTGTTTTGTAACTGTCTTTGTTTATGTTTTGAAAGCAGAACGAAAATAGGCTTATGAGAAATCAAAAGCGGGGAAACGGAGTTCCAGGAAGGGGACGGTTGCCGTGCTTACTGAATACTGTATGTTATGAACATAATGCATGTTTTGGGAAGGAAGGATCGCTTTCATATTAACCTAGATTGTCGATCACGTTTAACTTCCAAAGAATGTTTTTATATCACTTACAGAGTTTCTTGACCATGAAATCTACCCAAACAAACATTTTCTAGAGGCACAGATAGATAGACACAGTTCCCTATAAAATGATACATTTTGTCCCCGAGTTTGGGTCTCCTCACCACCCTTCCTCATCAAACAAAGTACAAAGTAATGATTGTTGATTGATATTCTAATACAGTATTTTCAAATCTTTGGAGCAGCTGCATATACATTTTAGAGATTCTTGAGCCAAAAAATGATTAAGTTGATTGACATCGTTTGTTGGTTATGTACAGTAATACTGTATTTTGCGATCATTAGAGCTAGCTATTACACATGTGCAAGCAATCGTTAAAATGTGAAAACAAACACGAAAACCCCATAATGAAATAACCATGCAAAAACATTGGAAACCATGAAAGAAGGTAAATGAAATTTCCACGCAGAACAACCATGAGTAGATATCATTTCACTGTACTTGACAGTTTAACACCCACACTATCTTAATTCATAACATTAAGTAGGCCTGTCATCACTCATCACCTTGCCTACCTGTTCTCCGGAATGATCGCCTGCATTCGCCTCCACATCATCGTGAATCACAAACTCCCCCTCCGAATGATTAAGACACCGTCGACGTACGCTGAAGTTCGTCATCCGCGCAAAGTAGGCTTAAATAATGTAACCAACGCAAATCCATTGATACATTGATAAATACGCACGAATGAATCCTAAATCCGCACAATCCCTGATATAACAATTTCGCTCTGTGTAGGTTTTTTCTTCGTTTTTTCGTTATTACTGATGTGATACATTCACCTATAATGTACACTTCTTAAGGACGATGCTTTGTCAAAGCTTTTTTTTTACAAACTGTATAGGCCTTCTCTAATACACCAACACCAAAATTGTGTTTTACTGTGTTTCAAACGTTTATGCTGAAGTCGAGAACTGGACATGGATGGAAGATACTACTGTATTTTAAAACATTCGAAGATGTTCTTTTGAAATTTACGTTGAATAAAACGAATAGGCTAATAGTTCATTTAACAGAGTAGGCGTATACAATGTGACAGAAAATTAGAAAAATCTGAGTAGGCCTATTCTTGTCAAAGTGTGTTTTATGCGTCTTTATTCAAATTTGTGAGTGGACAGGGGTGGTTGTGTAAGCTGTCCAACAGGGGAATGACTAATATTCACTTGCAGGGCTCAGGAGTTAAGCCATGGCGGGGGATGGTGGGAGGGAGGGCAAACAATTCTGTACCACTCTGAAAAAAGGAAAAATGATTCTAATTTCCCCTCTTTTTGGCGGTCGGATTTGGTCTGTCAACTGGAAGATTGGCACCGATTAGTTCCACTTCGACATAATGTGTTATTTTAAACTCACGATTTAATGAATCTTTGAATATGATAGGTGTGATAAACACATACGGTAATCAATTTAATTATGTTAATTGATATACATTTGAGAAACCCCCGAAATTATTATTTTTTATTATTTGCCTTAGTAACTTAATACTTTTTAATCATCTACCCTATTTAATATTTTTTTATATAATTTTCAGTGATTTATAGGCCTATCTGATTTTGTCACAGACAACGATCTTTTATCACCATTTTGATTATATAAATAAATAATTTACTCTTAAGAACTCCAACAGTTTAACGAATTTTGGAGATAAATATCTTCCTCACTCTCCCCAATGAGGACAAACTTTATTAATTTAATTAATTTATCTAACATTACTTATAGTATTTACAGTTGACGAAATATCAACATTTAATAACATTATTCCAAAGTCGAAGACTATTTTAAATTAACTGAATTGGAACATCTTTGTATGTTGGCATTTTCATACGCACCATAGAGAGTGCTCACATTATTATGATTATCATATGGCAGTGCAAAAGCTATTTACAACAGCAGTGCACTATTTTTAGCACTTGATCGATTTGTAGTCAGATGATAATTAGAACAAACGTAGAAATGAACGTAATGTATGATATTACCTCGCGAATGACGTCAGCACACTCCAATTAGACGTTCATTATTTACTCGTGTTTTTGATATATCTGTCCGCAACATCGGTTATTATATTATATTATTCCCACTATTCCCATGTCTTAGCTGCTATAGTACCCATTGAATATCGTCGGTATATTATTACCTTTACAGACATTTACTGACGTGTAATGTAGGTGATGAATATTTCCTTTGGGCTGTTGAAATATCATAACTCCATTCCATGTTTCTAAATATGGATCTGATGGTGTAAACTGTCCCACTAAATAGTATTAATGTATATTAATAGTATCCACATCAAGATAAATAGATACGATGATGAGGCAAGTCCTTTAGTAATTAATGATTTACTTTTACTCAGTCAAATATGCCCATCTGACTGGTATTTATCATTATCATCATCATCAATGTCATTATTATTATTATTATTATTATTATTATTATTATTATTATTATTATTATTATCATTATTATTATTATTATTATTATTAGGTATATTGCTGTTTTTATTATTAGGTCTATTATTACAGTACATCTATTATATTATTATACTTAATATAAATATGGCCCCATATACGGTAGTATACAATGACTTCTAGCCCGCTTTTACTCAAAGATTGGATAAGGCATATTAAACTTCATAGCAGTGTTTCAAGTGTTATTGAGACAAATTCGCATCAACTTCTTTTAACTTACTTCTTTTTCAAATTTAAATTGCACAGTATATGCTGCTAATGTGTTCCTAGATTATATTATTCATACCTGGATACTGTTGGGTCATCTATAATTAAACATTTCAATTCAGTTGCGTTTAACGATCTCCATAACCGCGCGTGCCGAAGCAATGTAATGCAGCATTATGCACTACAATATAAAAATATATACATCATCAAACCAGTCAATCATAAACGTAGACGGTGACGCTTGACAAGGATCACCTATTCGTGTTCACATAAATAATATTTACCGGTACGTCGTCATCCGAAGCAGCACTTATGATCTGATGTATGTTGATGACGCAATGAGCTTCAGCATATAGCGCGTTACGCACTCTGTACGACCTCTGGTTTCTTATCGATCGCGAACTGCATGGTCAAATTGACTAGTGTTCTTCTAACTTTCCAATAATTAGTTAATTTCATTCCAGATTTCATTTTCGAAAATGTTTGTCTACTGTGTCTTAGGCCCCATAAAAAATAATGAGTTTATCACCCTATCAAAGAATAAAAACTGATGAGGGAGGGAGGTTTTTTTTTTTTGCTAACCCCGCCCCCATTTTACCGATATTCGCAAGTAAATTAATGGTTAAGGACAAATTTATAAAAAGTCATAAAAAATGGAATCAAATTTATATTGAAAAGGATGTTTTTGATGTACCAGTAAATCAAGTTGATGTTTCGAGTGAAACAAGATGTAAAAAACGACTTTTTGAGATAAAAATATATGTTGATTGAAAAAAAAAAATTAGAATTTTCCCGAAAGTGATGAGAGAGTGGGTAATAAACTAATATTTTTTTATAGGGCCTTACAAGGGCATCGATCCGTTGTGGAAAGTGGGGAGACGAAATGCAAAATATATAGGATATTATATGTATACGAACAGAGAATTATATATATAAATTATACAGTATATATTATATATATTTATATATAAGCTTTTATCATATATAGGCCTACCGTATATATGACAGAGAAGTTATATACTTATGGAGATATAATTGAATACGGTGTCCAAATGCACTGTATTTGTAGACCTTTTTAATATTGTTTTCTTACGACAACTTGGCAGTTATTTTGATTGTCTTCAAGACAACCATTACAAAAATTCGAGAAAATACTATATATGTTACTACGTTCAAGTTGATTACACCTGCCAGTTCCCGTATATCAATACATAAAATATGTCATTTGATTTTTGACTTTCGCTGCATAGCAACGGTTATTTTTAGTCACAAGTCACAAATTATGTACACAATCTGTGAAGTTAAAAATAATACATGTATCGACTAAATCGTAAGCCTGATAGGAAAACGCACATATGGTCTCGTCAATATATCCGTCTGATTTGCTGTTTCTCATTTAACGATTTCAATACTCTTTCCTCTGTTCGACAGGATACGAAGGTGACGATGCGAATCAAGCGTCGTTTTGTGACGCGACATGAGGTGCCAAAAACCAGTTAGCGACTTCAAAACAATTGGCTAGAGTGTCGCCGTGTTACCATAATCAAAATACAATAATTCCCCGTCAACAGATCGTTATTGTTTGTTATGTCAGTAACTAGTGTAAATTATTATGATGTGCTTATGAACAAATTATCGCATGCGATTTTAGAAACGGATTTTATTAAGTCCGATTTAGAGTTTAGTACTATAGCGTTGATAAAGTTTTAGTTGGCACAGTATTATGTTTGTGTCAGACTCATCCCTAGCCAGGCCTAATAGCGGCAGTGGTTATAAAAGCCACTATCACGACCTACATCGCGGCAGGTCGTGGGAGAGCTGCTAGCAACTTGCTTGTGACGGGGGAGAGGATCGTTGATGGTCGTGGAGTTTGCAACATTGTGGCCGGTACTGGTCCCCAGTCTGATCGAGTCGCTCTTATACAACGTGTCGTAGTCGTTTGGCTCCTCTAAGTCCAAATTTTAAGCTAATTTGGCCATTACCGTATTACTTTCCACCAATAAATGACACGAGGTGTGTTCATGCCTATTAAATGAGCCAAGGTAAATGTTCACGCTGGGGGTCATTCTATCGACGTACGATCGCAGGGCTACCGTATGTCGTGATAGTGTGAGAAGGGATACGATCGGAGGGTAGATCCTACTTCCGGTCGGATATGACCGTAGGTCGGCACGGTCGCAGGGCTATAGGTCGCGATAATATGAAAGGTGCTTTTAGGCCCCTTCGCCTTACCTGATTATGGATTAAAACGATAAGTTTTGATTGATCAAACAAATTTTATTTTCCATGTCTGTCAAATGTTCGATAAAGTTTATCGAACATTGACCGACATTCTATGTATAAAGCGCTTAACGGTAAAGTTCTGACCAATCGTGATTCACAAAGTTATCAAATGTAAGCATTTTAGAGCCGATCGAATCAAATAGATGAAAATTCATAATGTTTACATAAAATAATGTTTGAATAAGTAGTGTCAACATCCTACAATAGGTGTATGATATTTATTTAATACACTTTGAAGTTCCGGTTCATCCTAAATTCGTTTGTCCTCTTGAATGTAAAGTTCATCGACCACAAACCTATGATATGATTATTCTACGAAAAATAAGTGCCGCGGATTATTACTGGTGTCCCAAGGATTTCTCTCCTTCCCCCAGTAAATTCGGCATACACACAGCACCGGTCGTAACGTTTATTGTGAATTCGGGACGATTGTAAATTGGGAGTGAGCGATATCCAAGTTGAATTCGACCGCTGGGGCTTATTCCGGGCACTCACTGCGCCGTTCGACGATTTTACGAATCCAACTCCGCTGCCTGTGAGCGCTAGATGACGCGACGCCGCCGTCTGCTGATTGTCGGTGGACGTCTGAACGTTTCATATGGTATCATCGGCAAAGACGATCCGTTGCGCGCGCGTCGTGTCGTTGTGTTCTCCACGGAGAACGGTGTCGACCGGAGTGAGTGCCCGGCTTATATACTTTGCTGCTTCCATGATGCTTGTAAGACGGTGGAGCTATTTTTAGTAGTGTAAAAAAGCAATTCATGTCTGAGTACTTGAACAGAGAGGACCCTGGGGAATTTGAAGCATTGTATCGCCATTATATCAAACACTTGTTTTGTTTATTTTGCTGTTGATTATCTAGCCTACTGAAGTTCAATACGTCATCACTTAGGCCTACATAG